GAATTTGGGATATATGGGGATTTTAGTATAATATACCCAGAGCCATATTCTATCTACTTAACGGGGACTACCCCAAACCCTAACCCCAAAACCCCAAAACCCATACCGTAAACCCTCAACCTTAAACTCTAAACCCCAAATCCCTAAACCGACCAACCTAAACCCTAAACCTTCAATCCCAACCTCGCTGACACTCCACAGGCGCAAGGGCCGCTCAGCCTGTACAGATTTTACGCGGCTCTCCGCCCATCACTTCTTTGTCACCTGCAGAAGTCTGGACTTCAGGGCTTAAGGTTATGATTTTAGGGTAGAGTATCAAAAGGTATGGTCCCTGAAGAGTAAGGGGTCGTGAAAAGGGCACATAACTTTAACAACCGGTTTACCTTGATATTGTTAGCTGCGTGCCCCGGTGCAGACGCACTCTCACGGCAAGTTTTGTTTCCGACGAGGGAAACACTTTCTCCACCCAAACCCTAAACCCCAGGTCAGCAGCGGAAGGACCGAAGCGTGGACGAGTTCTTGGGGGTCTTCCGTTTTGACACCTTGGCAGATGCAGCGTGCGATGCCAGCAGCATGAACCTTCGTCCATGTTAGGATTAGGGCTTCGGGTGTAGGGTTTAGAATTATGTATCTAGGGTTATATTGGGGAAGCTATTGGGATAATGGAAAAGAAAATGGAAACTACGATTTAGGGTTTAGGGTTTAGGCTTTAGGATTGAGATCCTTTTCAACTTGGACCTATAGCTGCAAAAGGGATGCCTTTCTCTTCTTGAGATGCTCCCCTCCCTGTGATATTAAGCACCCCCCCTGTTTTGACTTTTCCTATAGTAGCCCCTATGAGCTTTAGTCTAAACTCCCCTTATATAATCCCCTATATAACCCGTTTCAACAGTTTTAGATTATACCTAATACGTATTGCGGTCCATATTTGTTCTTTGGGGGTGGGGGGGGTGTTTAATGTAGAGGCAGGATGCCGCACCCAACAAATCTATATGTAGATCCTTATATATTAGGGTTTAGGCTTTAGGGATATAACAATTATATCCCAAACTCCAAAACCCACATTCTAGATGTCTCTTGTATCAGGAGCCCTCAACCCTAAAGCCTATAGTAATTAGTTTCCATTTTCTTTTCCATTATCCCGATATATCCCCAATATATACCCGATTCTAGTATAGTAGTTTCCATTTTCCATTATCCCAATAGCTCCCAACACTTAGGAATGCAGTCATGTGCGCCGTCCTCTCTGGGGATACCAGCATGCTCCGGCTGCTAGCTGGACTGAGAGCGGACATGAACAGTGCAATCCAGGCCAGGGCCTCCTAGTAAACGATAGAGCTTGGGGTTTAGGGTTTCGGGTTCTGGATTTAGGGTTTCGGGTTCTGGGTTTAGGGTCTGGGGCCCAACAAACACCTGAGATTCCATTCCTATATCTTGCAGACAGGCTTAGACTCTGGATTGCTTTTCAATAGTATTGCCACAAACTCCTTGTAGAATTGTGGCATAGGGCACCTCAAATAGGTTTCAAAATGATATAGATAATCCTTTAGCCCTAAAGTACTCTTGGACTTTACAAACTGGGGCATGGGAACGTTGAGCACAGGAGGGTAAGAACATGATTCCTATTCAGGGTTGAGGGTTTAGGGGGGCCTTCCTGCAGGAACCATATAATTCCCTCCCACTCCCCATCCATTTCTAGAAGCCTACACCGTAGGCCTTTAACTTAAAAGGAGTCTACTGTTCAGTTTAAACCACTACCAAGGGTATGGGTGACGTGGGATACTACGACACGCAGAATGCACTCATGGTTGCAGCGAAATCGCAACAGGAAGCTCCCCTACTTGCTACCCTGCTCCTTGGGTAGATCCGGCAACATTTTCAAATTCTAGTCCCTTCAGAACTACCTATATGAGTCCACTTAAGGGGATTATAAACTGGGTTAAAAGCCCAGTTTTAAGTTCTAAGTAGTTACCAGGTCCCATGAGGATTCAAGTGCCTATGGGTAAGGATTGAGCTGCGGGCAGATGTAAATGGCACCTCCAGGGCCGGGATCACCGCTCTGTACCTGTGTCGGTCTCCTGAGCAAGTGCATTTGTTGCTCGAACACCGGGCGGAGTTGCAACAGGTGCTCCAGCTTGTGCTGTCAGTACTACCCTTGTTATGACCAAACTCGTTACATGTACAAACTATTGTTACTCTGACCAGCAAGTGCGTTCGAAGGTGCCATTGCTTTTTGGTAATCCCTTTCCCTAGTAAGTACTTCCAAATAAGAAATACCCCGATTGGGGGCGGGGTGGCTTTTAATCAGCTCCAAACCCTACACCCTAAACCAGCTAGGTTTCCCCTTGAGTATATGGGGATGTTATTATAGTATACCCAAAGCCATATTCGATCTACTTAAGGGGGACTGTAGGGTTTAGGGCTTAGGGATCATTATGTAGGTGGAGGGGTTGTGTTTCCAGGCAGTGAGGCGGGCCAATTTGATGGTAAGTCCTGAGAGGATGTTCCCTAGTCATGGTCAAGAGTGAGAATGATAACGTGATGATAGTTGTAATGACAGGAATACTAATTATCGGAGCACTAGGACAACAAAAGTGACCATATTTAAAGACATTTTTTGGATAGAACTAGGCTCCAAAGACTAGCTACAATTAGGTGGCTTTTCGTGTGGGGGAGAGGGACCAGATTTAAAGAAAGTTTTTGGGGAACCTATCCTGATAATAGAGATATTCAATACATTCCTGTTCATTTTTAATTACAAGAGGTCCAAGAGCCCCAATGACGCAGGAACGCATTCCTTTTTTTTTAAATTGAGTTCCAAGAATCGCAATCACTCTTTTAATCTGGCGCCCCTCATTTCTTATTCCGGGGGGGGGGNNGGGGTCCCCCCCAAATTAATCAAGTGCTTGGATTAGTCATAACAATAGTAAATAATCGTTGTAAACATAGTAACTTTAGTAAGAATCGTTCTAGTAGCAACGATCGTGATTGTAATGCTGATATCATTCTGGTTGCTGCTTGAGCAAGATTTCTCGCAGGTGGTGTTGCGTGGTGCTGCCGCCTATGCAAGCCCCGAGACCGTCCAGGCACTTATCACGTGCCGCTGTGATGCTAGCTACTGGGTTGCTGTTAAGGAACTTAAATTAAGTTACCATATAATGGGTATATATAGTGAATAATAGGGTTCCCCCCAATATACCCTAAACCCTAAACCCTAGAGGGTTTCCCCAATATAGTAACTCAATTTAAGTTCCTTAACAGCAACCCAAGCTATGTGGATGGCTCTGGAGCAGGACCGTTGAACGGCCTTGCCCTCTTTTCGAGGAGCAATCACAGAGCAGTGGAGAGTGCCAAGTTCCTCGGGTTTTAAGGTTTAGGGTTTAGGGTCTAGGGTTTAGGGTGTAGGGTTTAGGGTTTGCTTACTGGGGTTAGTAGGGAATAAGGGAATGTATTACATAGGGATTATGGGGACTACATCTACTAACCCAGACCCTGATGAATAAACCCCCTCTCCTCAATAGGCATTATAATAGGGATCCTAAAGCTAAGGCCCTTAAAAGAAGCGGGTTTACTCATCATGGGTCTACATTAATCACCAGTAAGTTGGGGACCCGGAGGTTGGTTTTTTCTTGTTCATCATTGCGCCCGGGCAGTCGGAAGTTTGGGCATCAACAAAGAGGGCTTGCAATCACTTTGCGTCCTAAATCCAACCCCAAACCCTGCACCCTAAGCCCTACCCTAAACCCTATACCCTAAACCCTACAACCCTGAAAACCCTAAACCCTAATCTCTAAACCCTCTAGGACAGGAACTGAGAACTAGGGAGCCGATCTAGCCTTGCCAAGCAGATTTAGGGTTGGGGTTGAGGGTTTAGGGGAGAGTGTGCACCAGATCATGAAGCTTCAGTCTATATGAGCTATAGTCTAAACTCCTTAAAGGGGGTTTATATAGGGGAGTAGTACAGGGGTTATTAAGGGGGATACTAGGAGGTTAGACAATGGCTTATATGGCTCTTACTGTTTCAAGCCGTGCAGAGAACAATCATCTTCTTGTGCTGCATGTCTATGTCTTTGTCCTACTTGAGCGGTTTCCCCTTGAACCCTAAACCTGAAACCCNNACACTAAACCCTAAATCCCATATCTGAAAGCACGCAACAGGATGTAGCCCCAACCATTGACCCACGGTGATGATTCAACCTTCAAAACTATGGGCCCACTTTTGGTTACAGTTTCTATTAGGGCACCTGAAAAATGAGGGGTACCACACAATACCTCAAATGGGCTGAGCCAGGGGATGGTAGGCGATGTTAGGTTTTAGGGTTTTAGGGCTTAGGGTTTAGGGTTTTAGGGCTTATGGTTTAGGGTTTTAGGGCTTAGGGTTTAGGGTTTTAGGGCTTAGGGTTTAGGGTTTTGGG